GTAGTGGGAAGAAAATACCTTTAGTGTCTCCATTTCTTCTTTAGTAGGACAGAACTTAATAAGATTCTCAACTTGATCAATGTCCAGCGCGGAGGAATCCAAAGCCAGGATGGCATTCTAACAATAGAGAATGGGAGTGTAATGAATTACGATATTGAAACTTTCTGATTACAGCATTATTGGAAGAAAAAAAAAAGTTTAATCTATCAAGGAGCATCTTCTTTCAGATGTCAAATAATCAATGAAACTGGTAAGTCAAGATATTGCACGATCTAGAATTGGGGGGACATAAATAAACTGCTTAAAAAAAATTGCAATTAGCAACAGCTAGAGGGTTATATAAAGTGAAATGGTTGAAAATAAAGTGAAATTTTCCCAGCAAAAGTAAGGACACTAACCACGAAAGTTTTTATAGGTCACAAAGGGATTCTATGTTGTATTAGATAGGACAATATGATTAACATGGTCATGAAATAATCTGAAATAATCAAGAACGGTGTGAATATTATAACAAGCTTATCAATGATTTTCAAATTTGAGCACCTTCAATTATTTAACAAGTAAAAATTCTTCAGAAAGAGTTCCTGCTAATCTATGCCACAGGCATTCAACAAATTACAAGTCTAGTGTAAGAAACTAATATGCAACTGCCAAAAAAGCAGAAAATCCAACATAGAGACCCAAGACTCGAGAGTAGGATTATTCGTGATCAGCAGCACTGAGGAGAAAATATATCCTTAAGAGGCAAGGAAATTATTCTAATATTTGAAATTTCTGTTATATTAGAATCAATAATGCTGTAGTAAAATGTTTTCCTCACAAAAGTTGGTGAATAAGTCTAGAAATAGTTGCAATGCTTCTTCATTTTGAAGTTAAATTTTGTGAACCAAGAATGGTTTAGAGAACTTACAATCATATCTGGCAAGGGAATCTTAATTTTTGTGAGCATAATTTCACAATTGTAGGCTCTACGCAAATCAACCTGACAGAAGGAAACACCAAATATAAGTAACAAGAAACAAATATACTTCAGAGAAAATTTCAGATAGGTAAAAGAGTAAGAGGAAAAAAAAAAAAAAAACTTCAACATTATAAACAAATTGTTATTCTAGTCTCTAGATATGACTATATTAATTCGTTGGTAAATCGAAATTAAGGAAAAAGGGGAACTCTCTCTGTTTTTTAGGGCATGGCTCTCATTTACAAACCTAATCCTTTGCCTCTTCTTTTTTTATCCATTGCACTTGATCTAAACACAGCTAAAATTCACTTTTCAGTATCAAGCTTATATAATATGACGTAGCACATAAGCAAGAAGCACCAAGCTATCAATATATGACAATCATTTTGAAGTTCAACAGTGGACTTGGGTTCTCAAATATTGTAGAGCTTTTTGTTAGCTAAGAAACTCCCTACTCTTTCTGATTGCTACATTCTTATAATGAACCCTGTCACTAGACAAGGGTCAAATAATGAATAGAAAGAATCTTATAATTACTATTTTCCAGCACGTATTGCGTTATCAAGATTCTTTTCAGGTAAACCATGCAAAAGCAGAAGTTTTTGGACAGTGTGCAAGTTTACAACAGTAAGCCCACATATACGTTCTGAAGTTACCGCAGATACCAAGACGAATAAATATTGAATATGATGATATTACTTACCAATTGCACTTTTTCTGGCTTGTTAACTTTAGAACCACGTGAACCGGCCGCCTTGTTAGCAGCATCTGAAGCAGTTGCCACCGAGAAAAGACTCTCAAGTTCGGATATATCAATTTCAGGTGCCCTATCAAAATATTAACCATATTGCACCAGAATGTCAAATAAGATGAGGTGTTATGAAAATATTCACATAAAGACAAAGCACATAGAAGTTGCTGGACTTCCATCCAGATCAGACATTATAAATGCAATGACCAAACAGCTACTGGAATGTCAAATATTTGAAATGCACATGCAAAGATAATGCCACGAAGATTTCAGATATGTCCACCTCGTCTGACTTTCTTGTTTCTGAGAATCAGCCCACAAACTCCCTTGCATAGCTCGAGTGACTTTGACCCAATGTAAAGGCTTTAGTGAAGTTTTTTTAGGGGGGATTGAAGAACCAGTGGAAGCTCTTCCCCTTGCCGAGGGCAAACCTCTTCCTCTTCCAAGAGATGGAGGTGGAGGTGCACTGGAGCTCTTTCCACCAGGAAGTGGAGGTGGAGCAATTCCTGAACCATGACCGGGAGGTGGGGGAGGTACAGCTGGTGCTGAACCTTGACCTGGAGGTGGAGGCGGTGGAACAGGACCTGAACCACGACCTGGTGGTGGAGGTGGAGCAGGAGCTGAACCACGACCTGGAGGTGGTGGAGGTGGAGCAGGAGCTGAACCACGGCCTGGAGGTGGTGGAGGTGGAGCAGGAGCTGAACCACGGCCTGGAGGTGGTGGAGGTGGTGGAGGTGCTGAACCACGACCTGGAGGTGGTGGGAGGTGGGGCCGGGGCTGAACCACGACCAGGAAGTGGAGGAGGCGGAGGTGGGGATGGACCTGAAAGGCACTAAGAGGAGGAGGGGGTGGAGGGGGAGGAGGTGGAATAGTGGTTGTTTTGTTGGAACTCATAGGAAGAGGAGGAGGTGGTGGTGGAGAAGGAACTTCACTAGAGGTGGTAGAATCTGAAACAGAGGATCTCTGTAATGAAAGCTGCAATGTTGGGGAATCATTAGCTGAAATTTCTGCATTTAAAACTTCCACTTCCTTTGAAGATTCAGACGAGGCAAGAGAATCTAACGGTCTATCATCAGTGGTCATGGAGAGGACAGGATTGGTCAAGGTCGACATTATTGGCTTCACTTGATCATCAAAGGGTCTCAGATAAGAGACTTCCTCGAAAGTAGAATCCATGGATGAGCGATCATCCAGCAAATTGAATTCTGATGCTGCACTGACTTTCTCCGAGTCCAGAAAATCAAGACTGTCTGCAACACTAGATGCATTGTTTTCTTCCTCAGAGTCAAGAGGCGAGGAATAACCACTCATTCTCCGCAACATGGACAAATCTTTGACGTCATTCAACACAGTCAGTTGCTTAAATAACCATAAAGCAGCATCATCGCCACTATCAACCCAATCTACACCATTGAAAAGTTCCTGCACCCTGGAGAAAGCTTCCATCGGCAAGCCGCCTTTCTCTTCACCATTTAACATGGCAGTGTGGACTTTGGAGGGTGATCTGCTCTCAACATCTCCAAATAACACCTGCGCTTGCAAAATCAAGAATTCGTGAAATATTATAACGTTAATAGCTGAACTGCCTAGCTTAATTATCTAAATGAATCTTTTGAACCCAAAAGAATAAAAAACTACCTCAGCACGAAACCCTTTAGGAAACCGCGCCTTTGACTCCCAAAGGATGTCCAAGTTCTCGCAGTTGAGCATTAAAATATTTGACCTAATAAATGCTGTATTGAACATTATCCGGAACATCATGACTTCCCTTTCAGGATCCATGTCAAAATGGACGCACTCCAATACCACATCTCCTTGCACCAAACATTGTATGTCAATCTTTATCACATCACTGTCCTTCTGCACGAAATTTATGGGCATTGCCACATGTATAAAAACTAAAGATCACTTTTCAAAAATTAAAGAAAATCAAGGAACAAATTCTTACTTGGCGATAATGACGAACATGTCTACCCTTCTTATGCATGGAATAAAGCATTTGAGTTGACAATCCATCCTTGCTAAGGAGATCCTACCATAAACACGGATAATAGGTCTGCAGCCTTTCTGACCATCGAACCTTGGAATGGCACGAAGGATAAGACAGTCTAGTGAAAGAGGTCTCTCAGGAGGCGGCCACTCAGGAGAAATATTTCTTCTTGATACATATTGCAGGTACCGAAGCTGGGATGGAAATGGATTCAACGGCGACAATAACTGCAACAACCCTCTTGGACCTTCACGGTATACCATTTCAAGAGTCTTCCTCTCACCGCTATGCAACTTTCTGAAAACCAAGAAGCTAGCTAATACAAATGCGAGGAGTGGCCAGCCCCCTCTTTCACAGTGAAGCAACACTACGTTATGGCAATTCCCAACAGAAAGCCAACTCTCGCTAACACGAAGGAAATGGTGAATTAGAGAGAGAGGCAATAAAGGGCAACCCTCGTACTGCCTTGGATAATCCATAACGGTGACATCGTACTCACACAGTATCTCTGCAAACTGGCTCCTTTTTTCACCTTCCCGGAAATTAAAGGCAAGAAACGAGGATTCAGGGAACTCCTCGTGTAACTCGGTAATGATTTCGTGCAAGTAAAGCTGGTATATTCCCTCCGGTAGCACTTCAGTCGAGAAACAGGAATCAAAAACTGCAGAACACAGAAATAAATATGAATAAAAGCAACACAAGCATGTTGTTGAAAGGATAAATTCAATTCTGAACATAGATTGATTTGATTTATTACCATATACTCTGTCCGAGAGTTCGAGCAATCCATCTGGAGGCCTTTTGTAAAAGAATCTACTTAGTAACGACATACTGTCAGTTGTACTCAACCTGAAGTGCAAAATTCAGTACATTTACACCTGAAAAAAAAAGCGAAAACGAAAATTAACTTGAGTACCACTAACTGGATTCGTATTCCACCCCCAAATTTTACAGAACACTAAAATCAGGGCCAATCAAATAAAATTCCTTAATCCCTTCAAAAATTATGTTAGTGCAGAAAATGTTAATTCAGAAGCTGACGCCGTAAACGTTTAAACTAAAAGATTATCACGAAAAACAATGATTACTCAGCTGGAGAAATCGAAATTTTACGTGCGTGCAGTACATACAGATGAATGCTAGTGAAATTAAATGGAATATGAGTAGGTAAATTGAACTAACCAGACGAGAAAGAGGAGGCGAATGTGACCGGAGAAACCGGTAATATCCGGTGTACGGAGGGGGTGGGCTGCTTCGGCGGCGATTGACGGTCGGCGGCGGCGTCGTTTTGAATTTCCGTCTTGAATTTGAATTTTGTTTTCTGGACTGAAATTGAATTTGAGGGGAAATCTTTTTTCAGGATTTGAAAACTTGGGCGGTGAATGCGCTGTACCTCACGCTTGAAAGCTTGTACGTAATTTAAATATTTGTGAGTGATATTAATTTTAGTTAGTAACGCATCATTATCTCTAATTAAAAGGTTTTATGATAACATAATCTCTTTCCTAGAAGTAATTATTTTTTTATATTACCTAATTATTATATAATATATAAAAATTCAAGTCTGAATTTGAATTGTATAGTATGTACTAAAAATTTATTAAAACAAAATATTTCTATCATGAAAATATATAGAAGGGGCTATATGCCAAACACCCTTCATAGGGATTTTAATTCTTGATAAATCCTTTATTATTAAATGATATTTGAGATAAATCCAATGGAACTGAAAAACCATATATGCCTCCGCTAATTATGAATTAGTATCATTATTTAATTTAAAAAAAATTATACCTATGATCTACATCCAAATCTTCTCCAAAAATTATTCCCCTCGTCACGCCAATTCAGTTTTTTTTTTCCTTTTCTTTTATTTTGTTTAATAGTGTTTTTTATTTGACTTGAAAGAAAATTTTGTAATTATTTATTTATTTATTTTTTATTTCGATTTTTTATTTTAAATTATTTTTTTTTCTTATTTATATTTTTCATGTTTTTTATTTTAATTTAAAAAAATGGTTTTATTTTTATTTTCGTTTTTCATGGTTTTTCTTTTTTCTTAATTTCGAATTTTTTTTAAAAATGATTTTTTTTTATTTTCTTTCCAGTTTTTTTAAATAAAAACCACTCTATATAAAATATGAAAACCACTATATATACACAACTATATAAATATGAAATCACTCTGTATAAACAATTATATAAACATGAAAACCACTATGTATAAAAACAGCTATATAAACATGAAAACCACTATGTATAAACAACTATATAAACATGAAAACCACTATTTATAAACAACTATATAAACATGAAAACTACTCAGTATACACAACTATATAAATATCGAAAACCACTGCCACTGCTCCAGTAAGAATACGATTTGAACTTACCTAAAAACAAACCCACAAAAAAAGAAAAAAATGAAAATAGAAATTAGAGATTATATAGGGTGTTTTGTGCTAATAACTCTCATTTTCTTCGATCACCAATTTCTACAGATGAATCCACCATTAAAGAACAACAAGTTCACATCAAAGCATCCGATTTTCCAAATGGGTTTCTCTTTGGAGCTTCCACTTCTGCTTATCAAGTCTGTATTTCTCTCTCTCTCTCTCTCTCTTCATCTTATAATTATAGATCGAAGGATGCGGCGGGTGGTGGGGGGCTACAGTGATAGCAAAATAAAGTGGCAGGAGTGTGGTGATGGGTGGTTGTTGGATTTGCTAGAGAAGATGATGGTTGGATTGGGTGGGGGGAAGGAGAGTGGGTGTTGAAGAGAGATAATGTGATAAATAATGGTTAGAAGTCTGTAGAAGTTTAGGGTTAAACACAAGGGTATAATAATAGTGATACATAATTAATTTTTGTTAGTTAAAAATGTTTTGAATTTATCTTAAAATAATAAAAAAAGATTGGACTCATTGTAACTACACATGTGTAACTACTACTAGGGAGTTTTGGCAAATAATCCCTATATAGAAATAGGGGATTAGGGCATTCTATCAAACGATTTTATTATGTACTTTGGAATTAGTTTATCAATATAACAGAGCATATAATATAACGATGCAAATTGAAACGAAATTTTCGATTTTCGTCGATTATGATTAAAAATTTTCCTTTTGTGAAACAATTTTTTTCATTTCAAATTTTGTTTCAATTTTAATTTCCAAAAATTCCGATCTTTATTCGAAAACTACACATTTAACATCATAATTACTATGTTTTTTACATTTTATGTTGCTAAAAATTGGAAAAATCGTTTTTTGTGGATTTTGACTCGAGAAAATTGGATTTCAGAACAAATCCAATTTCCGAAATTTTCATTTTTTGGGACGTAATTTGTATTACTTTTTCACTTCTGCTTTTTTTTTAATGAAAGTGTTACTGTTAATTTCGATTCAATCGGTTCGATTTCCACACGTGTGGCAATATTATATTGTTTTTCTTTTCTTTAACAATTACACATGTGGGCTTTTTTATTCACACAAAAGTACTCATATATGTATTTGTGCTTCACGAGGTGTAGGATCTCACAAGGCACAAATTATATACTTGACATAATCGTTGTCGGATAAATGTTTAATTACGTGAGTAAATTTATAAAATTTCGTTGACTTTTCAATCCAACTTTGTTAATTATCAACAAATATCAAAATTACCCTCTTTCTCGAATCCTCCAAGTCAAAGTTTCTTGTAAACCAAACAAAAAAATACATACAATTTCTATTGTTAGCTTCAATAATTGAATATGTATAATTTGAATTCCACCTAATAATAATAATATCATCAAGTTTCATTATTAGTGATAACGGGTCCAATTTGGAGACTAATTTTGAATGAGGAATTGACCAACAAATTCTCCAAATATTTTTCCAAATACAAGACTATTCAAAAATGCACGTGACAACTTTAATTTAGTACCACGACTATATAAACTTATATATAAACTCCCTTTTCCATATTCTCATTACAAAAGTTTCAAGAAACTCAATTCATCAATAAATACCAAATTCCACAATATTTGGATTTTTTTTTTTCATTACTCAAATTATTCAATCATTAAAAAATTTATCGATGAGTCGCCGTGGAACTATGCAGATGACAAAGCTACTTGTCGGGCAAACCCGACAAAGGCTATTCTCAACGGCTACTTCTAAGAATGTCTCGAGCGGTACTAAATTCGCTCCAAACGTCTCGGGACAAAGATTCACAAATCATGGAATCCTCGGGAGTGCCCCGATTTTCGAAGGAAGGTATTGGAGTACCGTGGCTTCTGAGGTATCAAGAGAAGGTAAAACGGTACAACCACCGAAAGTGGAATATTCCGGCGAGGATGATCATCAAGGCGGCGGCAAGACCGTTGCTATTAGTAGCTACTGGGGGGTGGCGCCGCGTAAGATAAGCAAGGAAGACGGCTCGCCGTGGCGGTGGAACTCTTTTCGGGTATGTCTCGTGTTTTATTTTTTTAACAAAGAAAGAAGTGATTTAATTATGACGTCATAATTGCGATATATGAGGTAATAAAGATAATTGAAATATTTAATTAATGAATTGCAGCCATGGGAAACATACACAGCGGATACTTCAATTGATGTGAAGAAGCACCACAAGGCAGATACATTCATGGACAAATTTGCTTATTGGACTGTTCAAACTCTCAAGTACCCTACATACTTGTTTTTTCAGGTCCACTATTTATTTTCTCTTTATATTTTTAATTCATATTAATTAATAATTAATGATTGTTAATTTGATCACATTTGTTTTTTAAAATTCTAATTTTTTGAAAGTGAAAAAAAATTAATTTCTATAACGATTCTGAAACATAAGAAATTTTGGAGAAATATGTTTCGAGAGAATAAATTGAAAATGTAGTAGTAACGTTTGTTTATGATTTGAGATCAGACAAAATACAAATCATATTTAAAGTTGTTTGGGAAAATGTATTTTAAAAGAAGAGTTTGAAAAATAAATTGATGTTTTGTTTGTTTTTTAGTCAACACATTTTTTTTTAACTATAGCAGTCAAATTTTTTTACCCGTCTGAAGGAGAAAGAAACTTTAGAAGTTGTTTTGATTTTTTTTTTTTTTCTTTCGAAAAACTAAACAAACACGAATTGCCAAAATAGAACAAAATAATGTAAATAGAACCAAACATTATTTATTCGGATAAAAGTGAAACAAAGAGAACCAATTAAACATTGGTTTACTCGGATTTCAAAATTCCAAATAAAAAAATATTTTAAAATAGAATCCACGAATTGCCAAAATAATGTAAATAGAGATATTTAGTAATACGGATATTAAAATTATTTTTAATCGATCCCAAAATTCTTGAATTTAGTTTTGAAATTTAAAATCGGATCGATCAATACATTTTGAAAATTTTATATATAATCTCGATTATTGATTTAAAAAAGATGTTTAAAAACCAAATTGTTAGGATCCAAATCGAAGAAAATGTTTGAAAGTTGGAATTTTTCGAATTGAAACCGGCGTAAATTCAAATGTTTCGTTCTAATTTACGCCCTTAGCTAAAATATGATCATATGAATTTGTAACAGAGGCGTCACATATGCCACGCAATGCTGCTGGAGACGGTGGCCGCCGTGCCGGGAATGGTGGGCGGAATGCTCCTTCACGCGAAATCCCTCCGGCGGTTCGAGCACAGCGGTGGATGGATCAAAGCCCTTCTAGAAGAAGCCGAAAACGAGCGGATGCATCTAATGACCTTCTTAGAACTTTCTCAGCCGCAGTGGTACGAACGAGCCCTAGTTTTCGCGGTCCAAGGCGTCTTCTTCAACGCCTATTTTGTGGCCTACGTCGTTTCCCCGAAACTCGCCCACCGGATTGTCGGCTATTTGGAGGAAGAGGCGGTCAATTCGTACACGGAATTTCTGATTGATCTGGAAAAGGGGCTCGTTGAGAATCAGCCGGCGCCGGCGATCGCCATTGACTACTGGCGGCTGCCGCCGGATGCAACGCTGAAGGATGTCGTCACCGTCATCAGAGCCGACGAGGCTCACCACCGTGATCTCAACCACTTTGCATCGGTAAGATTTTTTCCCTTTTCCGTTTTTTTTTTTGACAAAATGCACTTCACCCCCTATAATAAATTTCTTATTTTCACATTTCCCTCCTAAAAATTCGATAAAGGGATACAACTCGCACTTTGCTCCATAAGCCAAATAACATTCTAAAACCGTAACGTGCAAAAAAAAAATTTGTGTTTTTAAGATGCAACTTGCAACAAAAAATATATTTAAACGGGCAAAGTGCAACAAAAATTACTCAATCGTAGTTTTGCCATTTGAGCAATGTGCAATAAGAATAACATTTTGATGGGAGCGGACATTCACTTTTAAAAATTGCAATTGGGTAAAGTGCGGAAATTAGAATTTTACGGGGGTGATGTGCAATTTGCCCCCTTTTTTTATTTTTTATTTTATTTTCCGTAATTAATTATAATTAAATATTTTCTAAAAATCGAAAAAAAATTATATATATATTTGCAGGATATCCAATGCCAAGGGCACGAACTGAAGGAATATCCAGCTCCGATAGGGTACCACTGAACTGAAGGATTATTCAATTGATTTTAAACATTAAACTATTTAATTAAATGCACTTATAATTGATTTATTAAATTAATTAATTATTTGTATTGTGTTTGTATGATTCATGCATAAGAGCTTAAGGTGAAAATTGCTTCATGTTTATATATAATATAATTACTTTTCTTTTGTAAGAATTATGTACACATATATATACACATGTATGTATATATATATATCCCTTTGAGAATTCAAGGGCTAAAATGGTAACAAAAGAAAATTACTACAGCCAAAATAACGGCCCCCGAACGACCCCCCTCATCGGAAAATCCCTGTTGCATCAAGAAGAAAACGAGCACAAACAAACACCCCAACCCAAATTCTTCACTACCGTAACACTTAAAACACGGCAACCAAACGCCGCCCATATACACGATCAATATTATTACAAGCGGGCCCAATAGCACAGTGGCCACCGTGTAAGTCACGAGAACCAACGCAATAGGCAACACTATCGAGTGGCTGCTCGAGTATACCGCTAGAGCCACAAGAAACGGTATGCACAAGACGCACAGAAAGATTGCATTTTCCGCATCTGAGATTTCGGCTAATAAGGGGAGATAGTAATCGGGGATTAAGTTGATGGGGAATATTATTGAGTCGTTCATGCGGAGGAGGAGGCCTAGCGACACTACTAGGAGTAGCGGGATTAGGGGCGATGGCCCCCCCTTGGCCGCCATTGTACAATTGGAGGGGTGTTTTTTTCAAGAAAGATTGGTTGAGGTTTATGTGAGGTATGTATCTTTTATGCATGTTGAGATTATAAGTGTGTGTGTGAGTGTTTTATAAATTATATGTTGTTACTAAAGAGATTTTTCAGTTGTTGATTTGGTTGACCAACTTGATAGTTTGGTGCTACTACTTGTTAGCTCACATTAGTCATACTAACTTTATCCCT